ATAATTCTATCGGAGCTGAAGCCGATAGTACATGTACGGCAAAAATTTTTGAAAAATTATCGCATTACATATTTACATCTTGCAGAACAGCTTAAAGTAAATACGCATATAATTCAACAAAAACGTTTTATATCGAAGTGAAAAGATTATAGAAAATCTTATTTACATTCACTTGTAGGTATTCTTTCAGGTATTTCGGCGCGTAGTTCAAATGCTCATAAATGTGATATATATGCAAGTATATATACAATATAGTAATTCAAACTGAATTATTTAAGCATTAAAGATCTAGCTTTAACCGTTACGGCCATTACTTCTATTTCTTATTATTGAATTTATTCAGACAATTTCTATGAAAAAAGGGAATAGGAATACGTGGCATTACTGCCCATTGTGTCAGATTTGGAACCCATTTTGTTAAACGTTCATTTTTGCTTATCTTATACGAAAAAATTAATTATTACAAAATTACAAATATCATTATAAGAACTGCTTATATTATCTGAAGAAGACACTTTTTTGTTTGTATTTATGTATTTAAAATTAAATTTTTACCTTTTGTTTAAGATATATTGTCTAAAAACAAAATGGTATGTCAATATCTATGATCTTCCCCTAATATCGTGTAACTATTTCAAAATTAATATATTTCACAATATTTCAATTAAATATATTATATTTTTATTACCTGGAATTACTTATATATATTTGTATTGTTTTCAGTCTGAGATATTAGTAGAATCGGAAACAAAATGGCATTTATAAGAAAATAAAGTATAAAGTAAAGCTGAACATTCGAATGTGATCGACTGTGAAATTATAAAATTATGACACTAAAAGAAGATGTATCTTTAAAATAATGTTAAAATTAATGGTGTAATAAATTTCAATTGCATTATATATGTAATGATATTTTTAATTTCATATCTCATCTATATTATCTAATTTCTTTTCTGCCGTAATGAGATTACGAACCCTAAATGTATCCAAAATTGGTAAATTGTGTCTTAATTGATTCATTTTGTAATATGTTTGTTAAAATGTAATATAATTTAATAAATAGTTTAAAATATCACAAGTTACTTTTTCCGCTTTATTATAAAAGATTCTGTATAAATTCTAAATAAGTTAATATAATAAAATCAATTCTAAAAATAAGACTGCACAAACCTTAAGGAAATTGAATTTCGGTCAAATTAGCTAAAAATTGGATATGTTATAGATCTTGTCCCGATAAAAAGTCTTCACAGGCACGACCCCCCATAATGAATCGTTTCATCTCTTTTTCAAAACGGACTAGTACTACAACATCTTACTTTCAACGAATACAGTGTATTCCTACGTTGTTATTTGTATTTTCTATCTATATTTTTACGTAAAAAGTTATAAGGCTAATATTGACTTAATTGCTTTTCACAAATCAGAATGCTTGATTATTATGAGTACCCTCGCCTCTCTCAAATCGGGGTGCTTAAATTTCTAAAATCAAATTATCAGTCTTGATATCTTTGTAACTTTTTTGTAAGAAGCAATCAAGTCGATATTATCCTTGTATCTTTTTTTATTTAAACATATGCACAGAAATTCCAAATAATGACATAGGAACCGTATTCGTCGAAAATAACCCCGGATCTACAATAGAGTTTTAAATCTTAAGCCAAAAGAAATGGACGAATCATAATCGATCATTCTCCTAGAATTCGACCTTAATTGGTCAATTTCTTATAACTTAAGGCTTAAAACAACTATTGTAGATCCGAGGTTAAGGTAAATATTCACAAAAAGTCAGCACTTTATGACAGGTCAAAAATATATGACAGGTCAATAATCTTGTCATATGTTGTCAAAGTCATGATCCTGAGTAACCTCCATCAAATTTTAGCCGTCGCTTGTTATTCGTTAAAAAGTTATTAAAAAGAAAAGTTTGAGAAATAATGTCTCTTTTTACTATATAGAATAAAAATTTTCTACTTTAAAATATATTTTACGACTGTTCGAAAGCTCTTTCCACCTCTCCCCCTGCTTCAAGGGGCATGTGCGCGTGCGTCTACATGCGTGCGCATATGTATGTGTGCAAATTTCTGCTTTAAAATATATTTTACGATTGTTCGAAAAGCGATTTCCACCCTACCTATTTCCCTGGTTCAAAGGGCGTGTACGTGTATGTGCGTGCGTATATAAATATGTGTATGCGTGTGCGGTGTGTTGCGGGTGCGGTGCGTTGCGGGTGCGGTGCGTTGCGGGTGCGGTGCGTTGCGGGTGCGGTGCGTTGCGGGTGCGGTGCGTTGCGGGTGCGGTGCGTTGCGGGTGCGGTGCGTTGCGGGTGCGGTGCGTTGCGGGTGCGGTGCGTTGCGGGTGCGGTGCGTTGCGGGTGCGGTGCGTTGCGGGTGCGGTGCGTTGCGGGTGCGGTGCGTTGCGGGTGCGGTGCGTTGCGGGTGCGGTGCGTTGCGGGTGCGGTGCGTTGCGGGTGCGGTGTGTTGCGGGTGCGGTGCGTTGCGGGTGCGGTGTGTTGCGGGTGCATGCGCGCGCGCGTATTACATTTTAGAAACAGTTTCACCGTTTGTTTTATAAATGTATTTATTTTTAAAACAATTATCTACAAAATATTGAGAATATAATCAGATATTTTACTTTATTTTTAATCACTCTGTTACAAATGTATTCGTTTGAACAGTAAATTATCCTTTAAGTTTCATGATACTATTTAATTATCACGTAATTGTGCAATATATCTGGAATAATAGAACGCTCACTGCACGCGAAGCATATTATTATTTACATTTGTCTTTATTTTTAGATGATATTGTGCAATCAGACAATTATTTATTTATTTATTACGTAAGAAATAAAGGCAATACTTATTATTTTGTTAACTTTTCATTATTTAAGCAACACGATACGTAAGAAAGATAAAAATGCCGGTATTGTTCACAGTTGATTCTTATTTTTTAATATTATCTTAAGTACAGTATTAAAATATCTTAAACTAATCATAACTGAGTCATATGAACGTCTTGAAAGACATTACTTATCAATATTAGTCACTATGTACACGCGAGTGAGACGCGTGCGCCAACCCTGAGCGCTACATAGAGACGTGTTAATTTTAACATGCTCTCCTGCAAAAACTAATTGTTGGACGCAATTTTGCTATTGGAAAAAGTTGTTTGTTTTAGCATAAAAAATCATATCCTATACTCCGAATTCGTGAATTTCAAATCACCTTGTACAGTAAAGAAGACACATTATTTTTCAAACTTTTTTTGTTTAAAACTTTTTAACAAATAACTTTTTTTTAAAGCAATGCACTGAACCAAAAATGTACGTAAATACAATAAAAGTATTCATTGGTATTAATAAAAAATTTATTAAAATTGGTCCAATGAACAATTTTATTCCTATAATAATTTAGGTTTTATAAAATGATCAATTTGAGTTATTAAACTATTAAAAAATTCATTGTGACAATGAATATATACATTAAAATAGTTTGCCATGGATTTATTATAATAACCAAAAACTTTATTCATTCAATGAATAATATCATTAAATAATGCATTAAACTTTATTGTTATTAATGCGTTTATTGAACTAATGTACTGACTTTATTAACTAATAAAAAAATGCGTTAATATAATGAATGTATTTTATCACTTCTACAAAATTTTATAATAGACATCTAATAAATGAATTTATTAAGTATATGAACATATTTGTTGGAAGAATAAACTTTTTCATTGATTTAATATGTTATATTAAGTTATGATATATTCAAGTACAGCATATTAATAAACAATGATTTGTTATATTAATAAATCCAGTTATTAGCTAATAAAAAATACTCAATAAAATATTCATATCTATTAAAAGTTCATTATATCAATGAATTTAAAGTCAGTAAATGTCATTCATTGATATTATGAATAACATTTTTTTCAGTGTGGTTAAAACTTGTTGGAACTCACTCAGAATCATGACCTTGACAGCATATATGTCAAGGTCATTGATTTTTCAAGGGGCAGACCTTTTGTGTATATTTACCAAAATAAGATGTTGTAGTAGGTATTAGGCAGTTTTGAAAAATGACGCCTCTTATATATGTGAAATGGTTCATTGCAGAGAGTCATTCTTGTGGAGACTTTTTATCAAGACTACAACAGATCAAATCTTCAGCCAATTCGACCGAAATTTAATTTTCATAAAGTACGTGTGCAGGATCCTTTCTTTAAATGTGTAATTCTTTGTAAAAAAATCCAAAGGTAAGAATTAAAAACTTACGTTGCTTCTCTAATAACATTTTCGTTTTAAATTTTTGTTGTGAAACATAAATACTTTTAAGTAAAGAATTTTAATCAATGTAATAATTACAAGTTTAATGTCAAATAGAACATTCTCAATTTATAATTCATTTTTTTGCTCTAATTTTCAGACATGAATCTCTGTGTTAAAATTGGAAAATTGAAAATTAGGATGATTTTTACTAATTACTGAAAGAGGAGAAACTTGAAATCCGAGCTCAAAGACTTTTTTAAAGCTTGAGGTTTCTTTTAAAACTTGAAGTTTTAACTTTTTAGATCGGTATTTCAGATAATATTCTAATTGATTATTTACGAAGTTATACGAAAGCTTTAACATCCTTTCTGGATCATCTCATTACGATTATTTTTGATGAAGTTGCACTCTCTTAAAAATTGCTTATTTATAGATATCAGAATATATGATCTCTTTCTTTGACGTAGTTTTATATTTATTATACAATATTATACACTTTATGATATATTTATTGTATTTTATTAATGTGATCGATAAAGATGTATATTAAAATGTTATCTACTATGGTAATATTTTATTATTTTATGTACAACGCATGAAATAATAAAATATTTTATAATACAATATGCGCATATCATGTGTGATGTGTGCAATAAAAGATTAACAATCATTTTGTAAGTGCATTTTTGAGTATATATATACATATATATTGTGGAGAAATACTCAATACACAACAGAAAGAGTCTCTTGTAGCTTCTATACGCATCTTACCGTTACAAAAGTTAAAAATGAAAACTTTCATACTTTTTATGTGTCTGCTAGCCGTAAGTATAAATTATATTTTTTTAAATACATAGAAAAGGGTTTCCCAAATTTGTGTCGTGATCAACATTTAAAACAATAATATTGCAATGCATCTAGTTAATACATATGCTAGTTTGAGTAAATTATATATTTGTATTCATTTTTTTTAATATCTCATGTTATATATATATATATTATTTGATTCTTTCTTTTAAATTTTTATTGACCGTAATTTTATAAACCTTTTCTGAAATATCTAATGAAATATGTGTAAAGAACGATCTTGTTTACTATTTCTGTTGATTTTCATATCGGCAGTGATGCGAATTTTTAAACATAAACGGTTTAATAATTGTAATTTATATGTATATTTGGTTTTGATTTCTATCGTTGTTCCAAAAATCCAACTTCACACACCCACATGTATGTACGTTGTATAGATATAAAATGTAGTACTTGTATGTAAGTTTGTACTATTATATGAAATGACGTAGTGTAAAATTGAAAATTATTGCGTTCTACTAAAAATTGATTCATGCTTTGAGAATATCTAATGTAGAATACTGAACAAGTTTAACTAAAACTGTCTGAAAAAATACATACATTTTAATAAGTATGAATGTTATATTATGACTTATTTATTATAAATACAATCATTAAATATTTATTATAGCTAAAAGAAATTATATTATGCCATGTTTAACAATTTTCAAAATTAAAGTATTTATATACAAAAAGTTTACACATATATTTGAATAATTTTTTTTATGTTAGGTAGCTTATGCAGGAGATAATACTAATGGAAATACGTTTTGTGACTTGCTGGAATCCTGTACGAAGGAAGTGTCAAAATGCAGAAATACGCCATTCCTGTGTAAGCATGAAATATTCAACATTAAATATTGAATGTTAAGTTATTACAAAAAATTAATAGCATTTGACAAACAAAACTTAAGAAAAATATTGATTTCTAAAAACTACTTCTAATTCAAACTTTATTAATCAAAAATATCAATAGCTTCATAGTTAAGGTAGAGAAAACCATGACTAGTTGTTATAATTTTGTTGCTAGAATAATTTTATTAGAATTTTTCTGGAATACTGTATACATTATCAAGATACCTATGCACTGATTTAAGTACATTTTTAACTAGCTAATCAACTTTTTTTTTTAATTTGTATCAATTTCTTTAAACATTAAAAATAGAAATTTTCTGGTAGATAAACTGTAACAACTTACGCCATTGTAAGGCAAATTATTATTACCGAGCTTAAGACAAATTGTTATATTTATAATATTTTCTCTCTCTCTCTCTCTCTCTCTCTCTCTCTCTCTCTCTCTCTCTCAATTAAAAGAAAAGAAATTTGACCTCAAATTATTAATTTATTAAATTAATGATGAATTAAAGCTTAATTTTAGGTAAAAAATACTAATTCATTAAATGTGTATTAATATATTAGATAGTTAATTACAATCAATTAAAAATAATGTAACCAGATTTTATTGTAACATACTTTATAAATTTTAAGGCAAATGCTCGATAAGTAAGTTTTTTCAACTATAGAAATATTAAAAGTCAATTTCGAGTAATTTAATTTTAAATGAGCATACACACACGCAATTCAAGCAAACGTAATATGAATCATTTTCTCTGCACAAATGTGAGTACTGGATGAAACAATTTTGCGGAGTGGATGTACTGAATCCAATCGTCATGTGGTCTACTCCAGTAGTCATTTTCTAATTTTGATTGATTCACTTGTTTTTTTTTGTGTTTCTAAGAATTCTTTCATTTTCTTCGTTAAATTCTCCTTATTCTTTCTTTATATTTATTTCTTCTTTCTTTGATTGCTTTTTAACAGGAGAATCTATTGAAATAATAGATTTCGTCTCAGTAGGCCTTTTTCATTTTCCCTTACTTTAGTTTTCGGATATGATCCTATATCATCATAAGTGATAATTTCTTATTTATTGTCATATTAACATCATCTTTTATAAACGTTTTTCTTAGATGTTGCATTGATGTATCGTTGAGATCAAATTTATATCACAATCAAGTGAGTTTGACAAATCTTCTATTTCTATAAGCCTGTCTTTTTTTTGAGAAATTTCTTGTAAAAGTCGATCAGTGATATTAGCTGTGAGAAAATTCCGTTCTTCATACATGTTCAGATTAAAAGGTCATACGCCATCCTTTTAAAAGCCCACTATAATGTTTTCGAAATTAAAGCGCTTGCCGAAGCTTATTTAACCGTCGAAAGTATGTCATATATTGATATTAGAGCAATAGGTGCGAATTCATACAATTTGTACAAGCAGAGTACTATTTTTTGAAAAAATCGTGTACTTAGTTCAAGAAGTTGGAGATGGTATGTGGTGGAAATGATATATAAAAGAATTATATATTTTTCTTTTACAAAAGTCTAGCACTGCTATTGATAGGTGAGAATTGTGGTTATCTAAAACTAATATAGGGGATATTTGGTAGAAAATGAAACATATTTATAGTTGTTTTTTATAAATTATAAAAAATTGTCCTGTAATCTATCCACTAGTATGAGCAGCACAGATGCTTCCAATTGAACCTCGATTGAAATGTCGCTTAAAGTTAACACGAAGAAAAATAGAAAGAGGAAGAGGAAAATTACTAATCGCGTTGGCTGCTATTTCAATATACGTCACAGTTGTTTTCGCTATTTGTTTTTTTCCTTTCTCTATAATCATATTGATTCGTTTTTTAACTTACTAACTCTTGTTTTGTCTACATTCCATAATTGATGATATTTGAACTTGTGATGCTGAAAGATATCATACAGAAAGCTGTTGTAAGAATTAAAACTCATTGCTCTAGACAAGCTTGTTACTTCAGAAGTTCGAAGAGAATTTAACTTATCTTTTTAAAAAAGCTAAGAGCCAATCTTCAGATGCACATTATGATTTATACTAATTTTTAGGATGATTAATTTTAGAAACTCATACACATATTCATATTTGAGTAACTTTATATTTCTGGATGATAAATATATTTTGCTGCACTCACCAATATTTTCAAGTTTTAATTCTAAATCGTTTGAAGATACCTGCTTAGATTCTGCATTCCCTACCAATTTGACCATAGAAATAAATGTTTTATTTTTGCTTCCTTTTTTAGACAACGTTGCATTGTTATAAAAATAATGTCATTCGTATCTGTGCTTTTGTAAGAAACAAAGAGATATCTCTAATTACATTTCTTTTGTAGTTGTTGTATTATATGTTTTTATACCTGCAGATCCTATATCTGTCTTTCTTTTGTAAAATCGCACAATTCTGTAGAAAGAAACAAAAACAATTTTTAATTTCAGGGAAGTATGGAGTAAACTATTACACCGTAACATTTTGACTTAATCGAGTTGTAACAATTAGTCCCATTTCGCCAGTTTTGATTCGAGAAAATACAAATAAAAAACAAGTATACATATCAATTAAAAAATAAAACGTGCTTTTATAATTAAACGTAAATACAAGAAATATACAAAAAGAAAAAGATAAAATACCTTCAACTTATGTATCCAATAAAACAAGCCTGTTCAATTTGAGCCCAAAGGCAAACTCGACGAAAAAAATCCAGTGTAAGATTTCAAGGACTGTAAATTATTGATAAACGTCACACAGATGCGTATCAACACATTACAGTCCCCGAAATCTTACCCACATTGAATTTTTTGCTTCAACAGTAAAAATCACGTAAACAGACGTAACGTTTTCTACTGTTCAATTATAGCGAAACTAATTGGAATAGCAGAATGTCATAAAGATTACATGTACTATTTACAAAAATGCTACTTTTTTTGGCAACTAGAAGAATTAATTATAACAATTTATTCCTTGTAATTAGCTTCCGTCTCTCCTAATTGAAAAAGAATTGTCACTATTGTTAAAAGTCAGCAAATTAATGTAATTTTATTAAAATTAAAAATTTTACATTTACAATATAAAGCAATGGCTTTTTAAACATTAAATTACATACGTTTATGTTAAACAGAATCAAAACGAATTTATTTATGTTTTACAATATTAAAAGTGAGACAAAATAATTAGTCCCTTATTTTTCTATTACTTTATCTGTAAATAACACTTTAAACGAGTAAATAATTAATATGAAATTACTTTAAAAACTTTCAATACAGGATACAATGTAAAAATTATGAAAATGTTAAAATTTTTAAAAGATTTGTAAAAAATAATAACAATATAACGAATTGACGGAAATTATCAACAATATTTCGAATGAATTTATAGTCGAAGTATTCCAAGAATATGACATCTCTAAGAATCGAAATACTGCTAACATGAATGCAGAAATAAATAAATTCTCTTAGAAATTAATATTGATTAAAATAAAATTATATTGGAGTTATATTAGAATTTAAGTGTTATTCATGAACTTAATTGTGAGAACATATACATTTGAAATTATATTAATAAATACGTAATTTATATTACAGGTTATTATAATGTCATAACAGATGATTCAGTATGGTATTGTATACTCGAAAAAGCTCATGCGGTATGTATTTATTAAAAACAGAAATTTTATAGAAATAAATACGCACACACACACATTCACAAACACATATGTGTGCGGTGATTACTAATATTATCTACATTCTTAAATTAACTTAATTTTCTCATTTTTGTAAAGAATTTTTTCATATTGTGCTTTTATATATTGTACTATAATATATAATTTTTCAAAAAAAATTTAATATAAATTATTATTTAATGGGATTTAATGTAAAATTAATAATTTAATAGGAATTTTTTATTATGTCTTTTAATTAGCATAAAGGAAGTAAATTTAAAAGTAAATATAAAAATAAATTTTTCAATTTTAAATTGTGCTGTTTAATAGTACAATAATATACATTATTTTTAGCTTAATGCAGACGGTACAATAAACAAAAAAGCAGGTATTGGATTTTGCGATGTTGCTGTGGATCAAAATTACGTGGACACTTGTAAGGAACTCGTTAAGGATTGCCTATATGAAGGTAATCTATATAAATATGTTTTTTAGTAAAAGTTTATTTTTAAAAAACAAATATAAGAAATTTTATGAAATTTTGAATTAAATCTTATAATTTTCTGTTTTTTTTTAATTACATATAAAGATCTAGACCACTGCCTAAAGGGAAGAAGCCAAGCTAATTGTCAAATAGATTGTATTAGAATCAAGGGTGTGATGGATCACCTTATACAATGTAAAGAAAAACAAAAGAAGAACGCATAAAAAAATTATTTGTCGAAAATATTAATACCACTAATTATATAATTTTAACTTTATGCCAATATTGTATATGAAATAATTATCTGCACATTTATAATTCTACGATGGCTCTGTAATTATCGTAGTTATTATATTAGAACCAATATGTTTCACAAAAAATAAAACATTATGCATAATGTTGTTTACTTTTTTCAAACCGTTTCCATTAAACCTTACTTTTCACATTGATCGTAAGCCGATAATACTATTTTAAGTCGTTATCGATAATAAATAAAATTTTTTTCAAGTAAAAACTTTTATGAGCAATATCCAATCTGTGTATATTGTA